CGTCCTTGTTGACCTTTGAGAGTTATTGTACATTACTTTTCCTGTAACTCTGTGATTTCACCAGTCAGTTTGGATGTTGCGTTGCATAGGCATGCATGCACACAGATACACACTTGCAGGTGCCGTATGAATACGGTATTAGTGGGGTGCAAGCATCTGTGCCTGCATCCAGCGACTTGAGCTGCAGAAGTTATGTAACTTATTCTGCCATTTCATATGATTTCAGATCACAAGTGCTCACTGTGCTGGGCTGCCTTACTTCACGTCTGTGCAGCATATACTACTACATGATGTTAAGTAGAGCTGGTGCTTGGGTTTAACAAAGGGGAATCTTCTCTTAAACACACCAACAACACAGTGGCTCGGTACCACTCGGCATTGTTAGTCTTTTGTTCAGCATCCTTAATGGTCTTTGGCTGCAAGAAACAAATATAATACCAGGAAAAAAGTGTATTGGGACAGCACGGAGTGTACTGTATATATCCCAGGGAGCACCACTGACATTTTGAGAGGCAGCACGTTAGCTGTAAAACTACAGTACTTGTCATAGTTTATGATTATATACTGTTTGCTTCTGAGCACAACTACTGCCAACAGTCGTGTTTTTTTTTTTCTTGTGAGGCCAACACTTTTATTTTAACGTAGCTTTTCTGAGCTGTGTCACTGTGTGCCTGTGTATTTTGTATAGGAATAGCATTCACTGCCACAAGAGAACGGACAAACCCAACCTAGGGTGAGGCTGTGCTCCTTGGCATGCTTGTTTTTATTAAATATCTCCATCAGATATAATCCCGCTTACTTAGATTCACCCCCCGATACTGTAGAAAACACATTTTTCTACAGCTGTGCTCAGCCATAGGCAGGATTATTACCTATCATTATGCATCATGCATATTCAGCACAACAAGAGATGAAAGAGAGAAGGAGAGAGTAATGAGGTTACCCCCACTCGCTGGAGATTATACTATACACAGAAGCTTTCCCAGCTACAACGGATTAGAACACTGAGAACAGGATCGGGGGAAGTCTCCTGTGCTAATGTGTCTTTCCAGAAATACTGTACTATGTGAACCTCATTTCCTCAAGATGTTGCTGTGCATTGAACTCAGTGGCGATGTATATGTACATTACATAGTACTGTATATGTACACTACATAGTACTGTATATGTACACTACATAGTACTGTATATGTACACTACATAGTACTGTATATGTACACTACGTACTACTGCTGTGTTGTCAAAGGGGAACTCTCCATGGTGCTGAACACCAAGATGCCTGTGTTGAGGGCTCACAGTTGAGGTTAGACTGTTTCCAGTTTCTTCTTCTGCTAACTTTCTATAGCATATAGAATATATAACAATTGATTTTCAAGGCTGAACCTTGTAATCTATAACATGTCAAACATTTACAGTGGTTAAAAAAATCAGTAAATAATCATTTGTGAATTGGGAACCAGACAATTTGATATTTAACCAATTATCAAAAGAGCACTTGTTTAAATTGTTGGTGAGATCCAGCAACAGAATGGCAGCATCCACATCTTCCACCTGATTCTAGCCTTTGCTGTTACTCATTCAGTTTCTTTCCACAATCTAAAGCCAGATCATACATTTCTGGAGACCCTGTACTACACGCTCACCTGACAAATTTATTGTCATTGGTTTTCAAAGATATACTGCCATGTGACAGAAACATCCAGTGCTAGCTCACCAAAAAAACTGCCCTGAATATACAGACCTGTAAGAGACACAGAGGTAGTGTAGATTGCCTTAGATGCACCTCACTTGTGCATGCATAGGCATTAGTACCACTGAGACACAAATGTAGATCCAGCCTTAAGGGGATGGTCTTTTTCATCAGTCTTCATCTGCTGTGCAGTTAACGCCTCTTCACTTATACGGGAGCTCATTACTCACGATGTCAGCCATTTGAATCTTTTATCAGAGGGATTTTTAATTGAACACTGGCAAATGTGCTCCAAACAAATGGGCCTCAGCAAGCCTGAGAGCTGTGTGTGTGTGTGTGTGAGTGAAATATTCATCGTGCACTTTGTCACAATGCCGTAGCCGTCTGCTCCTGAAAACTGCACACGTTAGATACCAGCCCACATGGGGGATGGCAAGCTGTCTGCGGAGGCTCTGTGTGATTCACTGAAGGAAATCATTTGAAGTTGATATAGCAGTGTATAATGTGCACATGCATACTTTTCAGAACATGACCGGGCTTTACATATTTTTAACATTCCATCTTTGTGTAGTGAGCTGTGGGGTTTTAGGTAGAAATTCCATAGAAAGTACAGAAACAAACACCTGCAGTGGCTAATATCATGCCCAGTAAAGGACTCTTCTCTGCCACTGATGTGACAGTGCTGTACAGGTCCTGTTGAGTTACAACAGTTTAGACACACTGAGCACAAACACCTCTGTCTTTTGTGGTTTTTAGCTTTATGCAGTGTTTTGTGAAAAGACTAATCTTCTTATCCATGTTATGCTCAACTGTAACTTGTATCCAGACACACAAAACATTTAACTAATCCTTAAATATAATTTTAATTCTCAATCCTAACCTACCTTTATCTTAACCCCTTATAACTGGGTATTTAAACACACTTCAGAAGACATTTATTTTCCATATCTTTCTGCCCATGTAAAGGTTTTTGTCCTTGAAAGGATAGAAATACTAGAACACACTTACTGTAATAAATGTAGCTGAGCAAGATCACCAGTGGACCAGCTACGAGAGATAAATGGTAGAAGATTTAATCATGCCAACTGTCACCATGTCTGGGAGGAACCGCCACAAGGTTACAGATCGCAAAAAGGTCAAAGCTTGTTCCTCCTCCTCCTCGTTCTGCACACTGACCTTGTTGCTCACTGAATAATAAGCAGATGTAGCAAAGTTAAATATCTTCAGTGTGAATACATTTCAGTATTCAAAGTCAAACCAAGCTGTGAGTGTTACTGTTATAAAGTCCACATTCGTTCATTCACACAGGCAGCATATGTTGTGTGCTGTGGACTTCTGGTCACTCCACTCTTGCTTTATTTAGTCTTGCTCAGGGACACGTGGTGCCATGCTAGTGGAATGTGTGTGTGCGCGAGTGTACTGACCATACACAATGACACACAAAATCCTGTTTAATTCTATATGCTAATCTCGGAGCATCCAGCTGCACTTTCACTGCAATGGTCCTGATACACTGATAGAAACCCCTCTCAGCTGATAAACAGATGATCTGGCAGGTGATGTAACAGTGTTTTTTGTATCGCAATATTTTTCTATGCATAAAAGGAATGTCATAAAGAAGGCACGTGCTCTCTGTTTAAATGGGTATACTCCTCACTACTGATTGCGTTCGAGCTTGCCATAAAGTGTCGCCTGGTGATCAGAATGAAGTCATAAAGAGAGGTGGCATCTCGAGAGGAGGACTGAACACACAGACAGCTTTGAAGGGGATATCCTGTTTGTAGCTATCTGCCTGTGCTGTCAAGCCAGCAGTGAAAAGTTCTCTGAAAACCACTGATAGACTCTCTTCAGAGTGTGACTTGTTTATTGTGGCAGACTTTAGTCATGTTTTGGCTCTAATGGCACATTGTGAAGAAGGCTGAACTCCCAGCTAAGGCAGCATTCAGCTGTCAGCTCAGTTAAATGGCTGCATGATGGAAACATAACAGCAAGAGATATCGGCTAGTCGCTGACAGAACGCTGTGCTATCAACAGCAGAGAATGCAATCTGCATTACACACTTAAATCTTTAAGATTGATCAGTTCAGTTTATGCACACACATTCATTTACATGGGAGATAGAACAGGCCTCTAAACTTCATGACACATTCCAGCAGAGTGCAGGTGTAGTTAGTAACATTAATTAAGGATACACTGCATTTAGAAGTGCCAGGGCTGTGCTGTTGTGTCTGCTGGCTTACTGGAACCCTGAAATGGAACAAAGCCATTTTAAGTTATTAGTTCCACCTTTGCTTTTCCTGCTATGACAAGTGGAAACCTCTTATGTAAAAACAACAGACTCAATAGACAACAACAAACGGTGGAGCCTTACAGTCTGGCTAATGATAGAGAATGCAGTAGTAGTACTGTGTGTGTCCAGACATACTAAGATCATTTACACGTATATAGGAGAGAGTCGGCTTCCTAATATGTTACAGCAGAAAAAGCACAGGTGTGGTCAGTTGTGTGGAGTTTTTGTGTAAACATATGTTATGTCTACATTGAGTGTTGCTCACCACAAATGCATTGTGCATATTCTGAGCATCCAACACATCTGCTGGATGCCACTTGTAAGAAATTAAAATCCTGCATTGCTTGCCTCCATGTTTACTAGCTTGCAGTCTACTTTTCCCTCCTTTTGCTGGTTTATTGCTGTGTTTATAGGCACATTACAGCCACCTGCAGATCACAGCAATAGTGTGACATCATTCCCATCAGCCTCAGCTGTTCCTCATCTTCAGTCTTGATTAAATATTACCTAAAATGGTGAATCTTAAAAATGAAACTTGCTAGGCACGTTAGCATTTTCGCTGTTAGTATGTTCATGTGTGGATATTAGTGTTTAGTTTAAAGCTCCTCTGTGCCAAAGTGTAATCTAATAGAATTGCTAGCATGACTCTAAAGTCTGTATTGTTAATATACAACTATAATTTACCAAAGTGAGTGGAGTCTTCTAAACTGATTTTTGATCCTTTTTCATCAGTCATTATTCCTAGAGGACCACGCCCTATATTTTCAACAATCTTTAGAATTATTCCAGCCTATATCTGTTTTCCAACAGCAAAAGCATTTTGTATTATCTCTTAGGCCATCTCTTTAGAAATCTCTTTGGCTCTCTGTTGCACACACACACACACATCCGTATACATAGAAATGCACACATACACACATAGCTTTCGCTGCCTAGTCTCACTGAGTTCACTCAGGAAGCTTCTGTTCCTGACGAACTATAACAGCCATTCTCTGCCTTTCTCTCTCTCTTTCTTCCCAGGAGACTGAGATCACCACCAGAAGGAAGGAGTGTGAAGCAGAGGTGAAGAAAAAGAATCAAACATGTCAGACTTTGGTAAGTGCTCCAAAAATATACCCTGGCCTCTGAGTGAAAGGACAGATGCTAAAATTGATTTGTACCTGAGAACCTTGCCTGCTATCAGCACCCACAAGTGTGTCCCCTGAGAAAATGAGTGGCGGAGCACTGTAATGATAGCTTGGTTCTCAGGTTGGTATGATTGAAATGAAAATGGGAGCAGTTAAAAGCAAGTTGCAGAGCCCGTGGGTTGGGTTTTGATAGCATAGAGAATACATTTGAGAATGAGACATGCAGTTTGTAGCAGTAATTATACAAATTGCACAAACAAAGAAGAAAGTGTATGGGTGGGTGCTGTGATGTACTGCATGTAAATAATGTGTACATTGCAGTTCTCAAACTGTGGCTATCTTTACATACACATGTACAACGCAGCTGTTTTTTAAATATAAATCAATACACAATGTGTGTTTTTAGGTAATGATCACCACTGTAAAAGGTCAGAGGGATGTCTGTTACACAAGTCTTGTACTTTCATATGGTGTTTTAGCTCCTCATAAAGGACGTTTTTTCACAGTGTCCTAGAAAGCGCATACAAAAAGCCTTTCTTCATTTTTCTCTGTCTCGTCTTGGCATCTTATCTATGGATTATTTAAATAAAGGCCATTTTTATGCTCACGATTGATCATGATAAGATAGCACAATACAAATCTATGGTTAGTTTAAATTGTATATACAGCTGTGTGTGTGTGTGTGTGTGTGTGTTGTGGGAGTGGCTATGTTGTTAGTAATGTCACCTCAATGTTATTTGTTGGAACTGTAGGAACTTGACCAGTAAACAGTAGTGCTGTAGAGCAGAGCTTTGAGTGGAATCCATGTATTTTCATAGACATTTTCCCTTAAGAGGGCTGCAATAATGGTAGTAGTGTTCAATAAAAGACATCAATACACCACAGCAATACTATAATATTCTAAAATTATGCAAAATCCTGCATTGTCCAACCAAGACAAACTACCAGTCAAAGGTTTGGACACAATGTCCCATTCAGTTAAACTGGAAAGTACAATATGTCTTAACATTTCACTACATTTACCGAAACAAGATTGAGTCATTTTTTCATCTGCAGATCCAGAAAAAGGTCATCCATGTTTCTGTCTCCTTCAGAGCACTTTTATTCTGTATCAGGAGCTGCGGCATTTAAGACAACGTGGCCAGGCTTTTAACATGCTCAAGGAGCAGTGACCACATCACATTAATCCTTGATGCCCTTTACTGGTTACCCATGAGTTTAAAGACTAATTTTACTGCTTGTTTTTAGGCTTTCAGTGGTCAGGCTCCTACTTATATATCTGTAATATGCTTACTCACTATAAGCCTAACTGCTGCCTTACAAAGGTTACACAATCTCGACTTGTCATTAAAGGCGACTGTGCCTTTGCCCTCCGAGCCTCTTGGCTGTGGAGCTCCCTGCCTGGTAAACTCAGGCAAACCTGGTGTCCTCTTTTAAATCTCTTATTTAAACTTAATTTTATCACATTGCCTTTTCTTAACTGATTTACTGTTGTAATTATTTTATTAATTATCATGCTTTAGACCTTTGCTCTTGATTTCATTACTGTTATTCATCGTTTACTGTTTTTAAAAGTTCTATACAAATAAAATTATCATTATTACCATTATTATAAATTGAAGAAGAAAAGAAGATTGGAAGCATATGCAGTATAAGTGATGTATGATTTATTTATGAATAGCTGCAACAGCTTGAAACACATCTGTCACAATAGACTGAAGATAAGTGCTGAAGACCTAATGTCTTGTAGTGTTCTATGCCTATGAGTAACTGTGTTTTCTACTGGTTTTGCTGGTTACGCTAAACTTTCCCACTTGGGCCACTGTGGCTGTGTTGTCATTTGTGTTGAGAAATGTGAGTATCATTTGCCTGAAGTGATGTGATATAGCGACATGAGGCAGGTCACATTAGAGTGTTTATTCAAATGCTATTGTTAGCTGGTGCTTGGCAGTTGGAGCCAGGCTAAATGCCAACTACACACACACACACACACACACAACAACAACCACTGAGCAGCAGTGGCAGTTATTTCCCTGCTACAATATGTTATTTTATTAAAGAAAAATGCTTTACCAGAAATAAGAGGAGTCAACAAGTTGTGCCAGTTTATTGTGAGAAAGACATCTTACTGCTGTGTTGTTTTAACAGTAGGGTCCCCCTGAGATCTGCAGCTAAACGTTGAGCAGTTACATTCATAAGAGTTTTAGAGAACGTGCAAGCTTAGATATTTGTAGACCTGTGGTTTGGCAGCTGTAGAAAAATCAACAAAGGGTGTTGTATGACTGATAAAGCTGCTTCATCAAAGTTGAAGTTTAACTCTAGATAAAAAAAATGTTTGTAACCTGTAGATGTAGAGAGTAATGAGTCAAGAGTTTTCCTTTGAAAGGCAGGAGCTGGAGGGGATTCATTAGGAATCTAAATTGGAACTGTTTGGTCCTAGACCATTTAAATTCATTTCCTCATGTGCCCCAAGCCCTCTCCTTTAGATGAGCTGTCTTTGTGTGTGGCTCTCTGGCCCCAAATAAACACTGCATTAGGACTGTTTTCTTTGCTGCCCTCCTCTCACATTCCCACCTCGCCCACTGTCAGCCTGCTGAGTTTGAGGTAAACTACTCGAAGGACAAACTGTCCCCAAATGGTGAGCAGAAATGGCAGGGTGGTCTTCACAGACTGCAGCAATGCTCTTGTCTCGTCCTGTACTGAGCTCCGAGAACAGAGATGCAAACACAGAGAAGACCAATGAACACTGTAGTGAAGGGATGGTGAGTTGACAGTAATGTCACTCCCTGTTTGGTCTAAACCGGCTTACTCCTTTCTCTCATGTCTGCTCTTCTCCTCCTCAGCTTAAAGTAAAGAGTGTGAGTCTGCAGCTAAATTCAGCTGTCGTGCACATGAACACACAGTCTGAGTGACACAGGCACCTCCACCTTCCTGGGTATCGGGTGTGTAACTACAGACCATCAGCAGAGCATACCTCTGCTAGCATTTAAGGCCTGTTACCATGGTGACAAGTATTGACTGTGACAGCGTCACTTGACCATGTACTGTATCGGTGCTAATTGAAGATCAATAGTGAGGCAGACAGCAGGCGGACTCACAGGACTCGACTGTAGAGCTGTGCTCTCAGATGTAGCCAGTGTGAAATGTGTGCCTTTGTGGTCAGCTTTCATTGGGAGCTGTTTGTAAACACAAACACCTTCTGTCATAGGCGTGATTGGCAGCTCTCAGTGCTTGGACACATGGTATGCACTGTAAGCGCAAAAGTAGAAATGTCAAATTATTTTCAAGATAGAAGCTCATTTTTGTTTTGTTTTTTTTTTCATTTTACACAACACAGTTTATTCAAATATGCATTTGCCCTGTAACTGTTTTGCACCCTGGCTTGCAGGGAAATGCAGTATGTACTGTACTGTACATTACACAGTACAGCAGAAGCGAGTACAGCTCAGCTGCACAGTTGAATGACATTTTAGTCATCTTGCTGGCCTCCACAATTTTGTTAAACTGAGTTTATAGCTTTTAATTGTATTTAAAAGTCAGCAGTGTTATGAGAAACTGGAGGTTGGAAGGGAGCATATGTTTACCTCTTTGACACAGATGGTCTTGGTAAAGAAACCGGAACCAAACTGAAACGGTTTGGCTGATTATTAGTACAGAAGTGATGGGCTGGCTGTCGTCTACTGAACAAAAGCAAACGATGCAATTAGCAGAACAGAGAGTAAGTATAGGTTAAATGTTTGTTTTGCTCATGTGTTAAATGTCAGAGTTGATTAATCTGTCAGGCTTTTCAAAATGAAACCCACAGTTCTGGCACACCAGGCTGAATCAGACCCTGTCTGGCCAAAACACATACTTTCAAACACAGGAGTACCCCAGGACCTCTGCCTCACTCCTAATTATGTTTCATAGTGTATTATTCATGAACCGGTCCTAGCAGAACACATTTAAAAGACTTCCCACTTTATTGTTACACTTTCAGGTGCTGTTATTTTGTGTACATTTGTCTGGTTGCTCATTAGATTGTGTTTTTGTAATACTGAAAATAGCAAATATCATATTACAGTAAGCAGCCTCTACATTGGAAGAGCTTTTTTTTTTACACTTATTGTTTATGTTATGGAGGTTTTAATTTGTTACTATTATCCAGCCAAAATCAAATTTATGTCATACAGACTTTAGGATGTTAATTTTTAAAGAAAATCTCACTATCTGATAAATCTCACCTCATCAGAAAATCTCATGTTTTCAGCCTAATAATATCGGAGGCACCTCAGTTTGGGCCACAACATATTCTGGATGGAACTCTCTCCATCACTGTGCTCACAGGCCCTGCATGAAAATGTATCTTGCCAGAGTATTATTATATAAACGTATGTTTAAAGCATTAACACATCGACGGTACAAGAAAAAGAAACTGTTGATTTTGTGCTCAAGACAGTTTGGTTTGCATCACTACATGTGCGCTGGCAAAAAAGGATTTTAAATGAGGACAGTCATGTCAGTTCAAACTATGTGTTCCCATCAGCATTCATACAGAAAGGTGTGAGCTCACTGTTGTTTTCAGTAGCTGTTTGTCCTGCAGATACAGCCTTATACTGTATGATGTGTGTATATATACACACACTACCTGGCAGTAATCAAGAAGTAATTGTTGAAATCATCAACTAATTAAAAGGTTACCCCTAAGTTAATCACAAACTCTAGGCCATTTTCACAGCGGTAAGCCATGACAGTTTATTAGTGAGCCAGCATGCACAATACCAGGGCCCTGAAACTGAAGTATTTATATTAATTCTGCCATTTTATTTTTTACTCTTGTAAACATTCCACTGTGCCATGCTGAAACGTCTGCTGTGAAAACTAAGAGTATGATTCTTTTTTTGATGAGCAAAACCTGCTGATTTTGAAAATTGCTTTAAAAGCCCCCTTCCACTCATAACCCATAAATACTGTATCTGCCCTCCCCTAGACTGACTGGTGCATGTACAGGTTTATCACAAACAGGGTGTTTTTACATCCCTCTTCTGAAGGGGGTGGATGTCTGTTTGCTCCCATGAAATCAACGTTTTATCTGTTGACAGCAAATATGCAGAGGTTGACAGTTTTTAGGTGTAACTCTGACTCTGGAGAGTCTTCCCACTATTTATTTATATACCATTTCTCATTACTTTAAATGAGAAATGCCCCCTTGTTGGAGTATTTTGTTGGGTGCCCTGAGTGCTAACACTTAGCCTACTGCTGATAACCTAATCTCCCGGTTCCTTGTTGCTAGATTATGTTTTGGACCACTCAGACTATGCCTACATTTTTCATCTATTGCTTAACAACAGGTTCCTGATCAGAGTCTGGATCTGAATGAGGCTCCAACATACGTATATGGCTGAATCTCTCCAGTATTCCCTCCTGCTATCATATCCTGATATGCATTGATTTCACCGGTCTACCTGCAGGAAGCAGCAGTGATGGGCAGTGTGCAATAGTTGGACTCATTTACATGAATATTCATATATGTGTGAATTCACAATTAAAAAGCAAAGACCAGACATGTAATCAGGCCCTTTGTAGGAAACCTCTGTTAGACTTTTCCATAGAAGAATATTTTTAGATGCTTTAAACTGTCTCTGGAGGGGACATTTCTCATTTAACTCATACCTTTGCATGAATGTTACATTTTAAAATGTACTCCTCTCTTCATTTGCCCCTTGCAACACCCTCCATAAGTCAAACATTAGGGAGCTAGGGTGGATGCACCATCACTGGCCATTAAGAAGCATTGCATTTACTGTACATGTATCATGCCTGAACCAGTAGGTTATTACAGTAGCTCCTGACATGAACAACACTGGGCCTACACACTGGTGTAGCTGCAGGGAGTTGCACAGCTAAGGGACTTCTTTAGTTGACGCTGCAAATTGCATCCATGACATGTTTCATGTCTACTGATTAAATTTAATTAATTTTTGTCCTCTACAATGAACTTTTTTTACCCTCCAGTCTAAACACATGTTAAAAAAGGGTGGATAAGCCGGGCTCTATGTGTATGTGTGTGGTTAGCAGGGGATCAGAATGCATATTTGAGTTGCAGCACTGAAGAAACTTTTCATGACTTCTGATTACACCTGTTCCTGTACTGTATGTTTAAGATCTTGACATAAAGCTAACATGATGTCGCTATTGCTCCACTGTAGTGGCTAAAATGGCAGCTCTTTTAGTCTTTCACATAGGGTTCCTAGAACATACTAGAGAGCCTCAAGCAGTGTCCTCAGATAAATAATGTATGAGCTATTGCTAACAACATGCTGGTTTGAGTGCTGTGCTCAGATCTAATCATGGTGACTTCTTGAGTTCTAAACATAGTGTTTTGTTCTGTCTCCTTCATCCAGGAGAATGAACGTCAAGATTTCCTCCAGGAGAACAAGCGCTTGAACCTCCAGTTGTTCAACAGTAACCACATTGCATCTGAGTATGAGAAGGTAAGAGGCAAAATGTCCTTTGTTTTGACCTTTTGACTATACTATATTCATCTGAGCACTGTTGTAATGATTGTAAGCTCATGCTAGTGGCATGGCTGTATGGGTGACAGCGTAGGACTGTTGGTTCATAGTCACTTTGGTCTAGATGTAAATACCTTAACAACTGGATGCATTGATATAAAGTGTAGTACAGGCTTTTATATCCCTCTCAGGATGACTCGTAGTAACTTTGGTGACATTCCCAGCCTCAGCTGTACCTTTTACTGGGAGCTAATTAGCAAATATTAGTATGCTATCTTGCTAAACTAATATGGTGAACATTATACCCAGTAAACAACATTGTGTTGCCATTGTAAGCATTTCTGTACCACTGTGCCTAAGTATAGCCTCAATTCTGCCAACATGGCCGTTGACTCTTAGGGTTGTTTCTTTGTACACCACAGCCTCTGGTCTCACACTGACACTCTATCAGATAACTTTCTGGGTCATACTTTAACTTAACTGAAGTTGAATGCTGGATAAATGGAGCAGGTCTTCCACTTCCCAGCATACTGCATCAATGCGAGCAATGAGTTTCCAATTCTGTTAAGACTCCCTCACCTTCCTTTTTAGCCCAGAGACCTCAGAGCTGATAGCACAAAGTCAAAGTAGGTCAACAAACAAAGAGCACCAGTTCTGTCTCTTTTGCACAGGAAGGCAATTTCCTAAAGAAGCTGACTGGTAGGTTGGGGTTGAAGAAGGACAGGATACTGCAGGACTGAGGTGTCTCCTGAACCGACAGACATGAGAGCAGCACTCTGCAGAGCAGTGCAGATATTAGCCCTCTCTTACACCACCAAGTTCTGATCTTTGGTTCATTGTCCCTGAACAAACTAGGAGGAACCACAAACAGCACCTCCTTCTACCCATAATAGAGTATTGACCTGCTTCTACTGAATCCAGTGTAGTTTGGTTAGACCTGTCTACAGTAGGACTGGCAGTCACTTCTATCCAGGTGGATATTTTTTTACTGTATGGAGGCGGGACCCACTAGCTGGTATTTGTGTTTTGCTTTGCTGATGTTTGCTGAAACACCCTCCTTCAGGAGTCATTAGTCATTCATGGCTGCACTGAGGAACATTACAGCTGCAGGAGCGAGTCGTCTCACTGCCAATTAGGGGCCTTTAAAAAGCTAAATGAAAAAAATACAACCTTTTACTCTATATGTAACTGGTCTGTGGGAGACAGATTGTGAAGAATATGTAAAAATAGTAACATGTTTCAAATTTTGTTCATAATGACAGTATAGACCTCAGTGGTGTTGAATTAGTGCACTGTGTTAATGTGTTAATATGTGCATTGAGTGCATAGAGCTTGGTTAATAATGAAGCATGAATAATTTATTAATAATGTTTTTGTCTACAGCCACTGGAGTGAGTGAATTACATTGCTCTTGCAATATAATATAATATTTAAATGCATTTATCACTAAAACCAGCCAGCTCCCACGCCTGCACTTTAACAATTTCTGTTTAAAGTGCTCACCATGCTGTGGCTGACATTAAGCAAAAATCATTTTATTGTATACTGCTTAAATCAGCTCTGAATATCAGGCAGCTCTGCCTTTTAAGAGGCAGATTATGTTCAGTTTATTGTTGATATTTTAGCAGACAGTCGGTGGGGAGACTTTGTGGTGTTATTGGATTGGATTATGATGAATGGTGTTCCTGACATTTTGTCCACCCCCAGAAAAAAGGAAAGAAATGGCAAATTGAGCCGCTGTTGCAAGTGCTTGGATACTGTTGTCACACATTAATCTGATGGTATTATGTTATTTAAAGAAACAGTGCTATTTATTAATATTACACAGTCAAAATCTAACAAGTAATCTTATAGGATGCTGACTCTCTCCTCCATCTTCACCTCTATACTGTGACCTAAGAAAGTTTTGCAAGTGCTAACTAGCAAATGTATTATCTGCTACATTAACTATGCCTTCTACCACCCTGTAGTAATGAGACTATTTTTATAAGCTGCATCGGTGCATTTAAACTCCTGAAATAAGTTTTATTGTTACCAGCCTGGTTAGATAATGGTGGAATGGATTTTCAGCCACCCTTAAAGATACCATGTAACATATTTTTCACCACTAGTAGCAGTGTTGTGATGAGGGAATCCCCAATTTATTTGTTCCTTGTACAAGTGCAAAGTCACACAAATGATGCAAAGGAAGCTGATCCTGTCAGTGGTTTCACACTATTACACTGATCACCAGTACTGCACCAAATAAACCTGCAGTGCACCAGTGAAATGCAAAGAAGAATCAGATTGTAGATAAGACCGGTTTCAAAAATTTCAAAGAAGAAAAATTAAAAAAAAGCATTGAAGTCATGTTAAAACCTGCATTTAAATAGTTAATAAACACAACAACAAATGTACACTGTATCCATTAATGTATCAAATTTCTGTTCCTACATTCTCATCACTGTCATTGAATAAACCAGTTTTTATTTATCCATTTATTTATTTGTAATGTGTTTATTTGCACACAATTTATTAATTCATATTATACATTGTCAGTAAACTGAAAAAACCCTCTCCCACAGTAAGTCTCATAAAAACAAAGAACAAGCTGCTTAGTTACAGAAAACCGCTACTTAGAAAGTCACTTCAATAATGAGTCAGAATCACAATCCAAAAAGCAAGTTCTGACCATTTTCTGTCACTGAAGAGAAAGGGTGGAGACTTTTGAAAGCATTAAACTTTAGGGTGGCGGCAGTAGTGAATGACCTCCCTTATGTCTATAAAGAAAGACGTGAACCTGCTAGTGTTCATAAATAAATACATACATAAATTTAAATATATACATTCATACATACATAAATATTTTCAAGGAGTTTGAAAACCAAACAATTTACCTGATTAAACCTTTGAACATCCTGATTTTCCCCACAGAAAACAAACTGTAGTACATCTGTGCTCTCAAAATTGGTCTCTTTGCTCTTTGCTTGTCCCGTCTGACCAGGTCAAGTCTGAGTATGCCCAGCTCAAAGAGACCCTTGGTGCTGTGACGCAGGAGAGAGATTTAGCCCTGTGGGAGAGGAATCAGCTCCAAGGCAAACTGGAGAACCTAGAGCAGGTGCTCAAGGTGAGGAAGCCGACCCCGAGGGCAGACAGGATATGTCAAGACTGTGTGCATTTCTGGTTCTAGTAGTGTGTCTGCCCTGGGATCCTAATTCAGGTGTTTTTACGGAGCCTAACCCCTTGCCAGTACTCCTTCTCCTTCCTGTGCTACACTGCCTCTATCTGGGTATCTTCTGTTATACTATCTAATGTCCCTGACATGTCTGTTGCCTTCCAGTGTCGTGTTGGGAGGTCTGACCAGGAGTTGTGAAAGAATAGAAGATTGGACTTTCCTTTCCTATTCCACCCTTTCATGTTGTCCTGTCCTCCATGACTTGTCCCTTCCTACCTTCCCCCATGCCCTCTTCCCCCTGCTAGATTTATAAGGTATCACTGCTATGTCCATTTATTAGGAGGCCGGTCATATTCAGTCCCATTCTGAATGCCTTCTTCTACCTCAACGGCTGTGCTTATCTCTCCTTTTGTCCGTGGGCTGCTTACCAGACATACGAATGGTCACCTGGCTATAAGACCACAGCACCGTGGAACGTGTTTTTTGCATGAGGCAGGACAAAGAGTTTGGCTTTCTGACAATGGCAGGGGGAGGAAGAGGAGACAGAGAAACTGTCACCCTTCATGATGATAATGTCACCTACAAGTTTGATGACATTACTGATCTTAGACCTTAATTTTTACTGGCATGAAAATGTCATTGGCTTTTATAACACTGTAAGTGTTGCAAATATTCACATATAGTGGGAGCAGTGATGTGACTGGATGACATGGGCATATTGTGTTATGAAGAGCCTAACATTCAGTCCCTTGTATTATATGGCTTCCGTTGTTATGGATGACCACAGACAAATGAACACTACGGAGTTTGCTCACCCTTTTCATGTGATGTAAAACCCTGTATTGATCATGCAAAGACAACATTGCTGAGGACAGCTTTTCAAATAGTCCCACTGATCAGCGCTCTAACAGGTATTATGTTACCTAAAGGGGGCAGCAAACCTGACTGTGGAGTCGTGTTAGTTGTTTCTTTTCATTTCTTTTTTTTTTTTGTTCACACAGCAAAGCATCTCTAGTCCTCATCCATAAGCACCTTTGTGCAAAATTTGATCTGATCTCTCTCTGATCATTCAACATAAACATGTCCTCATATGGCATTTGCAGTGGCATAGTTTATGTCTTACAGTACCTGTTCTTAAGGGGATAAAGGTCAGTGCACTGTTAACCAGCCTCTGTGTGTGATGTGTGTAGTGTGTGCTGTCTTGAGTGTGGAGTAGAAGACTGGAGATGTGCTCTGTGTTATCTCAGACTGGATTTTGGTTCCACTAACAGCAGCCCTCTCTATGCTCCCTCCTCCCACAATCCTTCTCCCTTGCTCTCCACCCCTGCACCCCCTGCGGACAGCATATGCGTGAGGCTGCAGAGCGGAGGCAGCAGCTAGAGTTGGAGCATGAGCAGGCCTTGGCTGTACTCAATGCAAAGCAGCAGGAGATTGACCTTCTTCAGAAGGTAAGGGGACTCAGGTTACATAACACTCACAGCACTAGAGGGCTGGGCTTTCTTGTTAGCCTAGCCTGTGCCAGTGCCATGGGTCAGAGAGCTTTGTGTTGAGCACTAGTACGATATATACACTCCAACAAATATGAAAGTCAACTCAAAGACTGTGTTATGTAGGACAGAGCAGAGTAGTGCTCTCCATAGGCTATAGTAGTCATCTATTTGGAAATTTTTGCCACCGGCATTACTAGAGCTCAACCAGTGCATTTCTTATCCCCGTCCTTCAGCTGTCTATCACTCTCCAAGCCTGGAGTGCTCAACATTTCAGTAGCACTCCTCTTGTTTGCTCCAAGTGAGCAAATGAAACACTCAAAACACAGAGCAGATAGGCTTCCTCTTCTGTGCACTGGAGCGGACTGTAATGTCAAAGCAAGCCCAGCAGTGGCTGAGACTGCTGATAGTGTGAACATGATAGGAACTGTCACTGATGCTTTCTCTAGCAACCATGTGTATGTATCCCAGTGTTGCTGTTGCTGCAGTGTTGCTCTGACTTCACAGTCAGCCTTTCACAGGCAGAGTTCTCAGCTTTTTTCTCTCATTAGCAGAAACTCATTACTGCCTTATCTGCTTTCAGACACTGGCCGCTCTCTGCATTCTCCTAAATGAACCACAGGCACAGTAGATTTATGAAATTCTGCAGATGCTCTCATGTTCATGTGGAACGCTTGTTTTTCTCAGCAGATGTTTCTAGTTCCCATAGGGAAAATGGTGTGTGTGTTACTGCTGCTTCTACACAGTCCAATACCTCTGTAATACCCAAGCCTTATTCCTCTTGAATGCACTCTTCCTTTTTTAATTATTGATGGATCATAATTTTAAATGTCTTCAAAGTTATATTTGTATGTACAGAGCATCTGACCAGGTCATTTTTGTAATATTTCTGAAACATCCACTCAAACATACCCTGGCAACATTTTCAGTGTTTGAATGACCATCTGCGGTTGGTAATCTCTAAATAAAGAGAAATAATAGCCAGGGTTAGACAAGCACTGCAGTATTCTATAGTTACAAATAAATCTGGTTTCATTTGGGGTATGAGACGTCTAGGACGCAGATCAGGGGTCGCACTTAAACACTCATGGGCTGTAACTCGCTCTGTGACAGTTTGCTTAATATGAGAGCAAGCTTCTGACATTTTGGAAAATACGCTTTCTGGAGTTAGATGAGAAGGTGGGAAAATGTTGAATTGTCATTTTTACTCAAACAGTTGTATGGATTAAAGAAATGGGATCTAACCTTTTAATCATTTGTTCAGAGTTACTGGAGGGCAGAATTTGCTGCCGTTACTGACAGAGCCAGGCTATCTGTTTCCCCCCGTTTAGATGTTGTGCTAAGATAAGCTAACCTGCTGTTGGATGTAGCTTCATATTTAACAGCGATGAGAGCAGGAATCTTTTCATCTACAGTAATTGTTGGCCAGAAAGCAAATAAACAAACTGTTCTTTGAAATTTAAATGTGAATTAAGCTGGTGTTAGGTTATTTCTTAGTTAGATAGATATGGATTAGAGATCTGTTGTCTATGAATGTTTAGTGCAGACAGGGTGACTAGTTTGCTGTAACTATTCAGCCTGCAGTGAGGATTGCAGGCACGCCAAGGTTACAGGAAAAGAGCTTTTAGTGTCAACAGTAATGCTAGTCTTAATATTTGTCTTAAAGTGTAAGGTTATGTCCAATTGTTTAGATACACACCACGAAAACAACAGTCACGCACCTTGACTTTTCCTCATGTTTGGGCTAAACGTTATGGCAGCTGCAAAGCTTGCTTATCGGGTGGCGTCACGGTTTGACGCCCCTTGTAGCATGTCAATTTCGGTATATCTGCTATGGGGAAAACCAAATGGGTAAAAAGTCAAATTAATTTGTGGGCTGGATGTAAATTCTTGTATTGCTGGGCTGGCAGATTGAGACCCATGCTTTGGATGCTCTCAGGTAAATGGTCTTTACAGTTAAGTGTGGTAAAACAACTTACAAATTCTTCCTTGTCTTTTTTTTTCATGCATGTTACCTGTTTCATCTTGCACAACTCGCTGTCTTCATAGTTAAATAGGTTAAATAAGAAACACAAAATATAAAAGTGAAATGATTTAAAAATCCACAGTATCTTCCGTTGGTTGTGGTCAAGTGACACTGATTTTTTGCTACAATCAAGGTTTTGTTGGTGAATGTTTAATGTGAGGAAACAAAAGAAACTGCAGTGGTTTCATCCTTCACTCTGTAGAGATGGTGGCTTTTCAACCATTTCACCCAGAGCACCAGTGAATGAAAAGTTGCTTCAGTTTTGTTTCTAAATGTTTTTGAGTGGTGTTTTAAATTCAAACTAAATTGCAAAGTATGAACTGAGGCACCACACACTCTTGTTTCCCAGGCTCAGGTTGAGGCTAAAAAGGAACATGAAGGTGCTGTCCATCTGTTAGAGGTAAGTGTCTCGACTCTGGGGGGTTGACTGTGTGTGTTTGTGTAGTTGCTGCTGAATGATGAGGTGCTGTTCAGCCCTGGGGCAGACTTATGTATACATTCAGCCATTTCCTGCTCTTCTTGACCTCACTACTCACTTTCACTTCCCATGTTTTAAATATGAATCATGGGCTGAGTATAGAGATTTCCTTTCGCAATATTGTCAAATTGTCGTGAAATAAACACTTAAACGACATGACACAGACTGTCATTATTTGTCTATTTCATCATATTAGCCTTGTAATACATATGCAGCCTGTAATTTCAGGACTGTTGTGTTTTTAAGATGTGTGAGTGATCACATGTGCAGTGGTGCTTTATTTCTTTCCTACACCTCTTTTCACTGTATGGGTGTGTGTTTTTGCTTATACAGAACCACTTGGACAGCATGCAGGTATTTCAGAATTGTCTTTATTTATTTATTTGACACTTTTTGCAACCTTTCTAGTATAGTCAGTATGGTACACAGTCCCCATGTTTACTTTGGCCCAGGAGGTATGGTGACGTAACACCACTTTGCAAAATGAATTACTCATCATGAAGTCTTAAATCAACGAACTGTGAAACAGTCACAAGGTAACATAAAACACACATAAATTATAAGTGATATATGATTGATTGTGTGGACATTGCATTTTGGTTTGCAGAACAATTCAGAGCTGCTTCAGGGCAACATTTCATTAACCACCTGTGCTTCATATTTCCCAACAAAATAAAGGGGAAACAAAGCAACAAAGAAAAATTCAGCTATGCTCACTTATCAACTGATGATTTGTAAAGTCAGATGAAATTGAAGATGAATGCCTGGAGCCTCAGTGACTGTCCTCAATTTTATATAATCAGAGTCCATCAGCACATTGAGGCATGCAAATGTAACTTTTAAAAGTATGTTTTACATATGAATAAACCACAAATTTAGACTACAACTTTTGAATGTGGAAAAACTGTGAATGTGTTTTATTAGTCAAATCTGCAGTCAAAAGTTGCAGAAGTCTATATATTGATAACATTTTAGAATGAAATCTTTTCACTTTTTAATCACCAGTATATCATTTTTAGCCATTGATGCATACAATAGATATTAGCTTTCTGACTGTATTGCTATCAAAGGATCACATTACCAAACAGTGATGAATGTGATCCTTTTTGTTGTAGCATTGCATGCATATTATCTAGCATGTGTTTAAAAACTGTCTACTTGCCATACAGATGAGAACTGTATGATGCTCTTAAAACAGGTATTACTCAATTTATGAATTTCATTTCAGAACTGAAGGAATTCTTTGACCTTTTTTGTTTGATAACTGCATGTTTTATCCAGCACTAACCTGTCTGCATGAAATGGACTGTGTTTTCACCAAATAGCTTAGCGAGCACTGTAGCAGCAGGCATTGCTGTGTGTTGAGCAGTGCTACGAAACATTTATGTTCAGTTTGCCACTACTAGTTTGAGCAATGATGTTTCCTCCACTTGAAGTATGCAGCTGGTGTTATTCTATATATTTTCTGTTGTTACTAAATCCCATAAAAAGATCACTGCCAACAGTATTTATCAACTTCCCCTCCTTGTGGCTCTCGGCCCCAGGTCCATGCATTCTTGATGAAGATGTAAATCTTGGAAAACACAATATAGTCACAAATACAGTAGTTTCAATTATAAAAAGGTGACGTAATTTACAAAGTAAGCTGGGCACTAGTGCATTTCTTGGCAAATATTTTCAGCTGCAGACACACTAGTGAGCATTTACAGAAGCAAGATCATGTGCAGTATTTGGAACTGAAATATAATATATCAGGATTATTGTTGGTTTTGGTCTTTGCAAGGGATGACTTGCAAATAAGAAAAAAAAATATAGAATATCATCAACCTCATCCTCTAAGACATTGTGCAGTTTAGGTCTGCATACTGCCTTTTTATTTTCAGTATTATTAGCAATAATTGTACTATAGGTGTGCATGTGATTTGCATACTAAAAATTGATTTTTATGTAATGACCTACAGTACTGTACATCTCCATGTTCTAGTTGTTTAGACAGTAGATGTATAAATTCATATACTACCTACTGTGTTTATGTATACTCTAGTATTTTTGTGTGCAGAATGTTCAGTCCTGCATCCTTTGGTTTCCTCATTTTTCTTCTTCTGGTGCTTCTTTTTTTCCCATCCTGTGTCTCTCTTACCCTACTTACCCGTGTGTCTGTCTCTCTTTTTGCTTCTGTTTCGATAACTTCCCTCACCGACTGCCATCAGGCCAAAGTCCGTGAGCTGGAGGAAAAATGTCGGAATCAGAGTGAGCAGTTCAACCTCTTGTCAAAGGAGCTGGAGAAGTTCCGACTCCAGGCTGGGAAGTTTGACATCCTCAGCACTGAACCATTAACTGTATGTGAATCTCCTGGGTCACCCAACAAATCCATGTCCCAACTCCTTAATGGACTGGCTGCCCCCATAGGAAAAGGTATGTGTAGTACTGCTCAGTGCTTAAAAAGTTCCCTTTCAAATGTCACTCGTTATTTCAATATGGGAAATGCCTTCTGGGTGTGTGGACACTCCACTATCACCACGTCTGTCCCCTGACAAAGCCATCAATGTAGTCCCCAAACATGGGTTTCTGGTATTTGAGAGTGAAGACTAGCTGTACCTTCTCACTAACAAAAGTAATTTGTTTTTGGGTGGGGGGGGTTTGCACATTGTGGTGCTTATTGCATTTCATTTATCAAGCTAGCACATCGTGGTGTGGCTAGCTAGCTGCTTCTCATGTCAGGTGCTTGCTACCGTCATCAAGGGCTACAGGCTTCAGTTTGCAGTGAAACAACATTCAATGGAGTGGTGTCTTCAGAGGCCACGGGAGGAGCTGCAGGGGCTTTGGAGAACTGAATTTTCTCTCTTAAGATGGGGAGCAATTTGAATTGTGCCGGAGGAGGAAATGAACCAGGGCTTCTACGCCTGGCATTTCCTCATTCTGAAAAAGGGAAGTTCGCTTATCAAGGTGTAGCCTATGAATACCAGACCCTGCCATTCGGAAATCCGCGAGTGTTCAGCAAGTGTGTTGAAGCAGCTCTGAACCCTGTGCAAGCCAGAGGCCTCAGGGTACTAGGATAACTGGACCATTTTCTCCTATGCACTCCCAGCATTCCTTTTCCTATGGCCCTATTTTGAGGATCCACAGTGTCTGATCAAAATGTATTGACTTGGTTCAAGTGCCCATGCAAGTAGCAAATGGGCTGTACTTGATCTCCTCATTAAAGCAGGGGTGTGTTTTGAGCATAACATGCAATTATCCAATCACATCACTTTTAAGAGACCTGTGAGTTTGAACATTTGGCAGATTGCTAGCATACCTGCCAGGTAGGATGTCAGTAAGATTTTCCACTGAAGAAATTAATCTGCTTGTGCATGAGGAGAAGGTGCACAATCACTAATCAAAATGGTACATATATGTGCACAACGCACAATGAACACGATGTCATTAATTTTTTTTTATTTTGCATGTCCTGTGCAGCATGTCCCAGGGATAACAAGCACTGTGCATGAGCATTGTGCACGCACCTAGACAGGCACGCATCACAACACGATCAAAGCGTCCATTAACTAGCAATGATGATTTCATTGCTGACTTGGTTTTTGCTGGAAATTAGGAAACAGAGGTGCTACCCTCGCCACATGCAATGCGTTTGTTGCAAGATAGGGCCCATATTGTCACAGGCTCACGAACAGATTTTTTTTTGTCCACACCCAGAGTGACTGGCTCTCCTAATCACTCTCTCAGTGAGAGTGATTGAAACCACTCGTAGTGCAAGGGTGCCATCCACACGCTCACTGTATGATGGCCAGTGGCATATGTTTGAGAGATAGTGTGAAACAAGGGACACTGTCTGTTGGCTCTGTGGCAGAAGTGTTTTCTTTTCTGCAGGATTTACTAGACAAAGGCAAAGAATTTACCAAAATCAAAGTGTATTTGGCTGCAGTTTCAGCTTGCCATGTGGGTTTTGGTAATATGCCAACTTCTCAGCATTTTCCAGTCAGGAGGTTTATGAAGGGAGCTCGCTGGCTGTGGCCTGTGTACAAGCATTTAGTTTGCAGGGACGGCATACGTGACCTTGCACTGTGCTCAGCTCGGCACAGCACAGATACAGTATGTTCTTGTGTGCCGCACAACACATAGAAACGAATGGGTTCGATAGCGGAGCATAGTGCCCACCGTGCACTGTCTGAAAGGCCCTTACCTCCTCTTTTGTACTGAAGGGTAGTAGTCCTCTTATAGCTGCCCAACTCTGCAGCTGTGTACATTTCACCCCCTGCCTTTTGCCAGTGAGAGCCAGAGGTAGCTTAATGCACTGTTCGAACATATCTGGACAGAGCTTAGGCTTTTAGGCAAAGTAACTAGTTCTTTATATCTTGGGCACCTTCTCATATAGGAGAGGCATTATCACGCCAGTGTTTGTCTCACTGGGTAGTAGAGGCGATTATTCTTGTTTATATAGGTTGTGATTTACAGCCTCCAGAAAGCCTGCAGGCTCATTCAGCCAGCGGGGTGGCCACTTCGTGGTTCCTGTTTAGAGGAATTTCTGTGGGAGATATCTGTGCTGCTGAGCCACATCTCCCATAGCGATACACTGAGCAAGGTTTGAAAGACAACATTTGGTTACCAGGGTAAACCCGATTCTCTGAAAACTGAGGGAGGTATCTCACAACATTGCCCTTCTTGCAAATGAAGGACATATAGAAGAAATATGCTTGAGAATGCTGAGAATGCTGTGCAAAGGGCCACAGATAGTTACAAAAGAGGGTCGGGCTGGTCCATACGACTCAGCTGATTGGTCTGAACCCTGACACCCTTGTGGTGGTGGAGCTTCCGTGAGATACCTGACTCAGTTCATTTAAAATATCTAGATCATATATTAGTATTTAAGCAAATATTTAGCAGGAAGATAGTAATACTGATACCTCCCAGGTGCTGTCATGGTGTAGAGGCCATACTCTCAAGAGGCTGAGATCTCATTCATGTGTGAAGTTGATAAATGTGAAACCACCTAATTATTTTTGCTTGATGATGCTCACACTTACTAAAGTTCTGCTACTGAATAACTCATTTCAAATCAGCGTTGTGGTGTGAGCAATGCTGGAAATAACTCCAGAGTGTACATATCAAAGGAGGAGTCAGTTCCCTCACAATAAGGTGAAAAAACTCACAGCTGAAAATAGAAGTCTGACAGGCAAGGCTTCTGAATTAATCTGCAGTAAACACAAACTGTTAACTAAAGAATCAATCATAGTAAGAAATGGCCTCTAACAGGCAAAACCTGCTCTCTGTTGGTTTTAGACTTGTTTTTTTGTGGATACACAAATGTCTCACTAATTACAGCAGCTCTTGCTATGACACTGTAATTACTTTTAATGTGGTAACATGTAGTTGCAAACTGAAGAATACACCACAGTATGATAAAATATTAAACCAATATAACAGTACATATAGCCAAATGGTAGAATCTTTTAAATTTAGTGAGCAGGTAAACTGATGCCATATCTCCAGGACAATACAGTGTGCAATCAGATATGTCTGAAAGTTGCTGAGGGTATTAGTAATAATAGTGATAATAGGTTATTTAACAAGGACAGTGCACATTAATAAACAATACTGCAAATGCACAAGAAGTAGGCTATTTTTCATCTGTAGTCCCTGGACAGAAAGTCGCACCTAAAAATAAAACACAGAAATATAAAAGCTAGATTACAAAGTATGTAAGATCAAGAATGAACATGGGGAAAATTAAGAAAAAGAATAACATTACTAGAGGTCATCATACAAAACAGTGAAACTACTAAACTACAGTTTCCAATTCTCAGCAAAATTCATAATAGATACAAGAATATAAGAGACTAATTGCAACATTAAAGGCAAGCGCATAAACACACAACCTAGAAAGTGTGCCACTCTGTTTTTATGGCTTATGTTACATTATGTATTGTAGGTTACTGAGCATGTGAATGTTTCTGTTCTTTATCTCTCTATCTGTCTCCCTCTCTGTGAAATAGAGTAGTAGTATAGTAGTTTAGGAAACTGACACTTTTGTAAAATGATCTTTATCACGTTTGATAGTTTCAGTTGTGATGTGAGGATCTGAGAAGTTCTGTTTGTTTCACAGGAAATGAAGCTCCAACAAGCAGATCTTTGATTTCGGAGTTCATTCGACCACTCCAAATCAGCGGAGACAAGCCAGAGCTCCTCTCTGTCAAGCCAACATTGTTCACTCGCAGTCGAGCCAGCAGCCCAGCACGGCCTTTCCTCTCTGAGGTATGCAATAGTGACTTTTAGAGATCCTATAAGGCAGTGGTCCCCAACTGCCTTATACTGGGGGGGGATTGTTAATAAGCGTGAATCCACTGTGTTGCTAAATCAATGGGAGCCCTAAGCCCCAGCACTCGTTTCAGTGCTGTGGTGGCGATCTCAGGGTATTCTGTCATGACTTTAATCCAGAACACCGACAGAGTTGTTGTCTCGAACATACTTTTAAGGCCGCCGTCATTTGCGATCTCCAGCAGTTGATCTTCTTCTTGCACAGACCTGCTGGATTCACCTGGTTTGGTGACAAATGGGTTGCGGATCCATTCCTTGGCAGTTCGTGGGTCCTTTGTGGTTGGGAAGTAGCGCTCGAACTCTGTTAAAAGCAAATACAGGTGATCTTGCGCCAGCTGGGAGAATGAAGGCTCAGGCTCAGTCTCACCCAAAATCCCCGCTAATGTTTGAAACATGTCCAAAATGCCTCTGTTGCGCTCAAGTGACCGAGATGTAACCGAGAGAATACGGTCATTTTTCAAAATAAAAGATCGTTCATACTCAGATAATAAATAAAACGGAAATAATTAATGATTTCTTGTGCGGCCCGGTACCAATTGATCCACGGACCGGTACCGGTCCGCGGCCCGGGGGTTGGGGACCACTGCTTTACATGACATTGCAGAAAAAAACTGAAGTTTGCATAACAGCATGTTGGCTCAGGTTATCAGTGTTAGATCTAGATCTC